TTTTTTTTTTCCCCCCGATTTGGCGGGCCTATCTGTTTTTCTTTTGGAGTTTTCTTGTAGAATTTAGATTCACTTTTCGGCTTGGGCTTGTGCACATTTTTTTTGGGTTGGGTTTTCAAGTTCAGGGATTGCGGAAGGTTTTATAGCCTTCAAGGCGTTAGGGATCAAGGTTTTGTGTTTTTCGAGGATGTAGGGGTTAGGGGCTTTCAAGTTCAACGTGTTGAGATTCAGAGGTGAAGAGGTGGTACCAGCACAACTAGTAGGTACAATGCATTCTCCTAGCACTACTCTTTGCCTCATAGGATCTGCGCAGTGAGAATGCGGGTGGGGGCTATGAGGGTGAGCAGATTATCAAGCAACTTTTTGGAACGGGGTGGACCTGAATTTTTAAGAAGTCATTTTCAACAGGTAGTAGACCGTGAATGATCCTTGTAGGTGCACGACTGGTGCGGTGCACTAGAGTGCTGGCAGCAGTGCGGCGGTGAGGAGGCTTTTGGTTTCCTGCATGTCATTCTCTAGCAAATGCCGAGGGCAGGTATCTCAGTCCGATTTGTTTTCTGCCATTCTTGCTCAGCATGGTTTGCTCATGTGAGATGTTGGCCAGGCGCGGGCTGTCACGCTCGCCTGCGGATATTTGCTCAGTTCGCTCCTAGGAAAGACGTCTCACGGCCAGGTTTTCAGAGAGCGTATCAATTATCAAAGTGTATCAAACCAAGGTCCTGCTCTGCTGGGGCACGCCTCTTCGCCCTTCAAGCATGGAGCTGTTGAGGCGGGTGCTGTCATCAAGCAGTTTCTTCAGCTGATGCGCGAATTCCTGATCTAGGCTATCCAGCTTTCGCCAATGAACCCGCCCGACCCTCTGATGTACGTACAGCAGAGACCCGGTATGTTCGTGCCAGAGGCAAGCCCATCTCACATCGCGTAGCCCCTGCATGGATCGTATAGGCTCCCCATAATCCGAATATTATCCCTACAAAGGAGCCCCATAATCCCAATGTTAGCATACGTACATGTGAGAGAGTTGTAGCTTATATGCAGTCTTGGGCATATGTAGCCTCTGTAGAGCTTCGCCCAGGGCCGCCAGATGGCTGCACAGATCCTTGGAGGCGGTCATGACTTCAATCACAAATGCACTGGTTTCGTTGTTGGTTGCTGTTCCATAGCAGCTGCCGCCGTCGCCACCGCCTGCCGCCGCTGCTGCCGCTGCTGCTGCTGCCGCTGCTGGTGCTGCTGGTGCTGCTGGTGCTGCTGCCGCCGCTGCCGCTGATGCCGCCGCCGCCGCTGCCGCTGTTGCTGCTGCTGTGCGGCTCTGTTTTGCCGCTGCTACAGTAATTTACCGCTAACGCGAGACTGCTCTCGCCCAGAGCAGCCCCCCCCCCTTCCCTGCGGCACCCCGCTTAGGGGGAATCTCCATTTCGGCCCCCTCGCCAACCTGTGCGGAACCCAGACAACCGCCCGGACCCCCCTAGAAACCCACTAGAAACCCATTGCACCCATGTCCGGAATTGTACGGAGGTAGGTGGGGGTTAACTTACTCTTCCAACCGCCCTGGATCTAAATGCCCCAGGCCTGCGGCCTCGGCGGATTAGCGATCTGCATCAGTCCATCACACGGCTAGCTGGCACCACTCCTGCGTGTCAGCTCAACATACTGAAATGTATTGGACAGTCTTGAAGTCTGATCTTTGGCTGCCGTGCGTGGCCTGGATCGATCTTCACGGTAGCTTGGCTGTTGATCAAAGGATGGGGCGAGCGGGAGTCCAGCTTGAAGTGTTCCACTTGTCTTAAGGGTGCATGTCCTTGACCATTTGCTGCTTCATTTGCTTCATCTCCATGATTCCTCAGAGGAGAATCGTGGCACCATCTGCCGTTTGGCATCTATCATCTCACACAGCATGCCGAGCACTGCTTGGTGCATTTGCCACCTATCCCGCCAGTCGTGGCCACGACTGTGGTCACCACGGCTCAAAATTTTAATCTTCGGAGCCAGTACTGTGCGCATCAGCATTATGCTTGTCCTCATATTTTCAATGTCATGCATGGCATGTTGTTCTGCACGTCTTCATCTTCATATGTATCACTATGTCACCAACAAATTTGGGCGCCATCCTTCACCGCTCACGAAAAGGGGACTACCATCCAGCAACACCTATCCTCAGGCATAATCTACGTCCACCATCTAAAGCTATTGCTGCTGTGATGCCACCTGGTATGAGCATCAGCCTCCTGACCACGGGATGATGTGCTGTCCATCGCTTTTGCGCTGGATAAACGCTCAGCCAGCTAGATTGCAATCTAGGGCAACCACGTAACACTCTGCATCGCCATCGCCCTTGCCATCGTCGTTGCGATAGCGTAAGGCACCATCATCAACATCATTGTCATCTGCATCATCATATTGATTCTTACGTCATATTTGTTTTGTGTGCACTCTGTCATTCTTATCCTCGCCCTGATCATCATTCTCCTCACTTAAGCGTACCTAGCATCGTTTCTAGGCTTGCACATGGAGTGAGCTTGAATGGTTGGAGGGGAACATCATTAGCAGGGCAGTGTCAGGTGGCGGAGCAGCCATAAAATGAGATTCCATGCAGCACATATGGTGATTTTGGACATCTGCATCTGCTTGATATGAAACTGCTGCCACAATCGAAGCTGTAAGTACGCTAGGGGTGATTGCACGTCCTTAATTTGAAGAGGCATGAGACCACAGACCGCTGTCTGCCGTTATCGGAGCAAAGTCAATTGGAAGCTTCCCAAATTTGGTAGCTAACAGCCTGGTTGAGGGAGACATTTTCTTGCAAACGCCTGAAGCTTGCTGTATACCCCAGCGTCCAAACAGAGATGGTGCAGGACCTGAGTCCAGCCATGGAGAGCCAAGATGTTCTTTGGGCAGACGTAGGCCTGGGTGTACACGGTGCTTCGCGCTCTTCTACATGATCCCTATACAGCCCTAGATTATCCTGTATTACCCTGTATTTTCCCAATATTACCCCAACATTACCCCAATCTGCTATAATATATTTTTAAATACTATAATATGCCACACATAACTCTTACAAGTCGCTGGCCTGAAGGCCGACAGTCACTGAGAATCTTGCGGGAGTGGGCCGAAGGTTGTGCTCGCTGGGACCTAAGCGGCCCCCGCAGTACCAATGGTAGGCCTTCTGGATGATGGAGTAGCATGTCCGTCCCCCGAGTTTTTACCCTTACAGATTCAGATTTCTTGATCCTGGCTTATTGGATTTGCCTCCCTGTCATGTTTGCCATGGCTCACGTACGAAAGGAAAAAGAGCACTTCAATAGTATTAGTTATTACGAAGAAATCGCAGAATCAGTTCTGGTATCCCCCTAAGAAGCACTCGTGAAATTCGCTCAGAATCGTTATCGTTCCAACCTGTACTTAGTAAAGTAGCTCCCTGTCAGATGCCTGCAGTTCCCTCTAGCACAATCCCTGCGCATCTTCGAGGGCCAACCTTCTAAACCCTATAAACCCTTTTGCGGTAAACTGAGCGCTCAAGAAACCTCATTATTCCATTTGGAAAAGGCTTTGAGCCTGCCAAGCTGGTGCAACTTCATTGGCGCTGTGAGCGTCTGCGCAAGGGCATGCCTTGGGCCCGGAGTGAAGTGCCATCAGGTTTATTGTCTGGGAGCTACCCAAGCCATAACCAGGCAACATAGTTGAGTCTCTCATGACTACCTACCTAGCTGATTCTTGCACTACAGGCATTTCGCGAAACTATCTCGAACCTGACTCATCTCACAGACAAAGTGACAAAAGGGGTCTTCCAAACCTCTGCCCTGTGTGATGACAACAAATTCTAGAATCTCCAAAAGCAAGCCTGCAGTCACTGCAGTCCCCATGGCAACCTTCCAATCCCTCTTAAATCCAAGACTGAGCAGCTAAACAATACCCAGAATGAAGTGTTGGGTCCTCAAACTGATCCCATAGTTTCTATAATTTCAGAACTCCCTTATCTAGAAGGATGTGAAACGCCGACAAATACCCATGTAGCAGATTCTCAAAACATCCCCTATATCATCCGCAACACAGGGACCGCAAAATCTCCTTGTTCTCATTAGTATCCTCAAGCCCCTGAAGTCCACCCCCTGCTTTTTGCGAAGCCGTAATTTCTCGCCGCTCGATAGCATCTGGTGGGTGGAGCCCAGCCCTACCACCACGGGCCCAATGCCCTCCCCCTGTATTCAACCCCCCTCCCCCGCCTCCAATATTACATATTCCCAAATTGTGGTATGTCATAATATATTGGGAGCATTTAATATTAGGGGGGCGGGTTGAATATTAGGTGGAGGGGATTGCCTCCCAAGCCCCGGGCCTGACAGAAGCCGCAGAAGCCGAGGTTAGCAAACGTAGCAAACCCTGAGCCACCAGACCCCAATCCCGGTCAGCAGACCCCAAACTCTAAACCAAGATGGTAGGTCGCCTCATCCCGAAAAGCCTGTTACTGTTATTACTACTATTATTTGCATTTTTCATTACTTTTAATTACTATTATTGCTAGTATGTGTTTTATTACTAAACGTATTACTACTACTATCACTGGTATTGTTGTTATTATTAGTAGTATCACTTTCTTCTGATTATTACCCCTATTACTGGAAAAGAAATGCTGTGAGCGAGGCTTGGGCTGCCGTGCTGAAGAAGCTTTGCCCTGCTGCCTTAAAAGAGCATCACCTTGAGGGCTTTGGGATCTATAGGGATTAGGGATTATAGGGATTAGGGGATATTAGGGTTTAGGGTTTAGGGTTTAGGTTCTAGGTTTTAGGGTTTGGGGGTCAGGGATCAATGGTTTGGGGTTTCCGGTTTTGGGTTTAGGGATTGAGATCTGTAGGGATCATAGGGTATCTATTTGGGGTTATATAGGGTATGTATTGGGGTTATGTAGGGATTATGCAGGGCTTTTTTTTAGGAGTCAGGATGGGGGTATCTCGGATCTTACCTGGGGGTGATACAGGGGATAAGGCGGGGATTAGGGTTTCAGGCCGAGTTTTGGTGTCCGAAGATGAGGTTTTGGGGTTGCTCTGAGAAGATCCCGGTAGAGATGAAACAGTTTGGAATTTGGCTTGTTCAGGCAAAGGGCTTTTCAACGAGTCGGATCCCTTTGTTATCAGAGTCACGTCGGGCAACCTCGACTGTCTCTCATTGCAGTGCAATTTCCTAGTCCAGCGGATAAATCGTGAAGTCATGGCAGCAATTAGACTGGAACCAGACTCCTTTTCTCAGTCAGGTTTTGTCCAGAAGCCCACCCTTGTGTCGATTCTCAACACTCACTTCTTGCCGTTGATCTCTCGAAAGGAGGTGATGAGATGTTTGAGAGACGTTACAGTAGATAGACCACCTGACCGTGTCTCTGGTTGTGGATTTGCGTCCTGTTATGTGCATACCTAACAAGGCTTAAGGAACCTACTTGGACATGGCGGAATTGGCTAGGCAGTGCAGATCCTAAACCGCAGAGCACACCATGCACAACCCTGAAGACAGATGAGCATCAGCAAACTCCATGACAAAAATACATCCAGCTATCTTTGGGATCACGGATCCATCTGATGGCGCTGAATGATGGCGGGAAAGTATTGTACCGAAAGGAGGACATGGACAAGATACTTGCCACTTTCAAGAAGTGGGATGTGAACGGCAACGGGTCCATCTCCAAGTCAGAGCTGTCCAACATCCTGGATCATATTGGTGTTGCGGACAAAGACAGGGACAGCATATTTGAGTCGATCGACACCTCTCGCAATGGCAGAGTTGAATATGAAGAGTTCGTGGCATGGCTGTATGGCACCTTGTGTCCAATGCCAATTCGGGCGAGTGCACTGTCTGAGAGGTATCAGCTTGTTGTTAACAACGTCAAGCTAGATTTGGAAGACGATCCATCTTTCGCTGGCTGGTTTCATGATGCCTCAAGCATTCGGCCGTTCCTTGTATTCTCGGATAGCCTTACAAAGAAGCGATATTTCCAATCCAGTGAAGGCCTTGGCTTGAAAAGCCATTTGAGCTTTGACCACAAGTCGAAACATGAGCTCTGGCAGTTCGAGCTAGGAGAAGGATTGCAGGGTGCCGACGTTGAGATTTGCCTCCCGAAGGCCATGCAATCACTTCGAGGCCATCAGGTTCTTGGAAAGGCCGCGCTGACTCTGGACTGGATCACGCCTCAAATCGCAGAGGGGTTGGGCAGCGCGACGATTTTCTTGGAAGCTGTCGCGGAAGGCAAAGATCCGAAGCAAACCAAAGAGGATAGGCAGGGACAAAACTCAAGCACACCACACGAGGTGGCACATGCTTCTGATGTTTCTGCTGGCTCACCAGCCTCCCAGAGTCCACGGTCTTCGAAGCTGGTAGCGCGACTCACCATGAAAGTGACAGCTTCTGGAAGTTTGTGGGCGCGGAGAAACGTAGATTTCTGGAAGCAGCACGGCCTACCAGAGCTGGATCCTGACGGGGTCAGCAAGGTGCTAAATGCCTTGTCGGTTTCAGCAGACCGTCCTCTCGTGCAGGAAACGCTGCGCATGGCCGAGGTGAACTTAGCCAAGAAGCTCAAACCCTTCCGCTCCTGGACAGGTTCTGTGGCAGACAAAGAGCTGAATGAAGTCTTGCTTCAGCTGCAGAAGCTGGAACAAGCACTTGGTGCTTCTTCAGAGCTGAGGAGGCAGTCATCGAAGGACTGTCAGCACCTGCAAATCCATCCTTCATTGGTCATGCCTGATGCTGCCAGGAATTCGAGCAGCTCCGGGAAAGGTTGGCTACAGGAGTATTGTCAGCATCGCTGGAGGGAGAGGTCTGGCCTGATAGCAAAGAGGTACTTCAGGCAGCTTGACTCACGATTTGAATCCTGCGCCTCAGGTTGCGGATCACGAGCTCATGCGCTCTGCCCTGACCTTCGCATGCGCGCTCGCCGGCTTCCCAGCTGCGGCAGCTCCGGGTTGCCTTGCGAGCAGGGCTTCGCTCATGTAAACGGGATGACCGCCCTTGCTAAGGATCCACACTTGCCGGAAGTTCGCGAAGTGGCAGCTTGGACTTTTCCTGGCCTTGTCATGATTAGGCTAGGATATGCGTGGCTATGGCTGTTGTGTTCCCAGAGCCTGGAGCGCTTCATACCTGTTGGTCAATACAGCGCCCCGTGCAATCCTGAAAGCATTTTCCGGGGCTTGCGCTTGCAATTTCGCCTTGATCAACTAATTAGCGGCTAACGTAGATGATCCAGCGGGTCTGTAGGCTGCAAGCAGTGGAAGTGCATAATTTGGCCTTCGCTGAAGGAGAAGAGCTTCAAGGGCATGATGCGTTTCCCTCACAACATCAAGCTGCATGACCTGCTCCATGCACGGCCCTCAGAGACTCAAATTGCTTTCCGATGCTTTCCGCAATAAATTGGGCTACATTGTTTGAATTATTTGATACGCTCAGCTTCCTTGATGTCATTGGTCAGGAGCGAACACCCAAGATAACCCATATTCTGAGACATGTCCTCCTGCGGCTGCTGCCATGGAGCTACGTTGCTTAAGTCCTTCTGCTACGAAAGTATGACGTAATTGTGTTTGAGATTTGTTGGGCTATGGCGGCAGCCAATGTGCACACAGACTCTGCGTTGTGAACATGATCCCAATAAAATCCCTGTAAGTTCCACAATAACCCCATGTGATACTTGTGTCTTGAGGCATCAGACGCGGACCTGCGCTGCCCTCAGATGTTTTGGGATTGCACAGGTTGCAATAATGATGGTGACAGTAATCTCTTCCCTGAAACGTGATCAACCCCTGCCTTGAATGGCAAATAGTGCCTGCATGCTATCACATTGGCAAGACTGCAACATGGACTCTTCTGGGACTGTGGAAACTCTTTGTGGTAGTGGACAATTTCTTGAGTTCCTACAGTAACATCTTGCGTAGAATGAGCAAATGACAGCGTACGAAGGGACTGAGAAGACCAAGCATCATATTGTTGCGGCATGGTCGCAACACCGGCGCTGGAGTTCAATACTCACAAAGTACACAACCGGAACAAAAGAGGCTTTGCGCAACCGCAGCCTCAAACATGGAATCTGCCTCCCAGCTGTCTCCACAGGTCCCTGGCTGACCCTGCCCAAAGTGGCATGGACCTGGCCACGGAGGGCACGCTGCCGTCCATTGCAGATGATGCAACCTGGAGCATATTGGCCTGAAGATAGGGATCTCCAGTGCCTTGTTATCACTTGTACGCATGCAAGGTGTTTCATACTGCTCCAGCACCTTTGCAACCCTTGAGTCGGGTCAAGTTTGGTACTGCGAGATAAGCTTTTTAACTGCCTGCTTACGCGCCATCCTGCCTGGACTCGTGAGCCACTTGTCCGTACGCACCTCTTGCAATCGGTTGCATCATATCTTGGCGGCACAAATCATCACGCTCGCTGGGTTGTCTTCTTACATGGCACAGCTCCAGGCCGTCATGGTCCTAATGTGGAAAGCAACCTAATGCTTTGGGGTTCTCTCACTACATATTTCAAGCGCTGACCACCAAAAGCACGCCAAGACTTAGCGGCAGTCAAAAGTCAAAAGAGCTGATTTCCGCCTCAGGCTCAGCCCTTGGGACCTTTCATTTTCTTTCCATCAAGCTTTTGATGACCGTCCACGCCATGCCTTCAGGTTTTGTTCCAGAGCATATGCATGGCATACATGCGCACCTTATATCAAGTCCAGTCAGCCGAGGTAAGATTTGGAGTCCGCGATGACACAGCTGAGCGTGTGCCGCCCCTGCTATTCTGCAGCAATCCTGATGGCATGTGCAAGCTGACCCAGGTCCTTGCCTTGATGGGGAAAGACGTTAAGCTTAACTTTCGCAAAGGGGTCTGCGCCTCACGTCTTCAGTCTTCAGCTAAGCCAATTTGGTCTACAACATGGAATCAGTTCTGCGGAGAGTCGCGTTTGAACTCTCGGTGGCTTCTTGAGAGGCTTGGAATTTCCATGCAGATCCCAGACGTCGATTGATATCAATGCACGTTCTTGCATGTTCTTGCCAAGGTCACTTATGCCAAGATTGCGATGGAAACGCTTGGAAGTCCCAACTTCAAGCTTTCCGCGCTGCTGCAGTCCCTCATGGCCTGGATCCTAACTCCAACCTCAGATTATCGTAAGCTAGAGTGGTGAGGACAAACTAAGTGTGAGGTCTTTGCCTTGCAGAAGATGTGATGAGTCGTACTCAAAACATTACAGGCGGAAGTCAAGGTCTTCCGAGGGGAGAAGGCCACTGCAGGGAGATCAAAAGTCAACACATGATGCTTGCGTGGTCCCTGCCATATGTTCTCCATGCGCAGGCGTCCTCTGCATGCTCGATACCTGAGCTGCTATCTGCTCAGACTCGTGACCGGGAAGCTTTACTCGGACGCTTCGACATTGTTGCTGCTCCCACACGTGCGGACTACGATGACAAATTTGTACCCCTCACAAAAGCCAAGCCAGCAACACCATTCTTCGGCAGCGACCCCAAGGAGCCCATTGGAGGGCCTGGCTGGTTCTGGATTCTCCATGCTGCTGCAATTAACATTGGAGAGAGCGAGAGTGCGGACGACTTTCCTGAGTACTCTGTGGCTCCAGATCCAGCATATAGAGGACGTCGTGGGCACAGTCGCTGGCTTGATGAAGACCGGTACGTGGCTGACATGGGGCTTCTGTGGCACCGTGTGCTTCACTCTGCCGCTCACCTGGGTGTGGAAGACATGATTCTATTCCCATTTGGGATGGGTGCATTTCTCAGAAATTTGCACAAGCTGGACAACCGCTACTCCGACGCGACAGCCATAAGATGCTTGCGCTATAGGGTAGCTAGCGGTTTGTTTGATGCCGCAGCTCTCATGTGTCTGTCCAGCGCTGACAAAATGGGAGAGAAACAGTCCCCACTCGAGGAAGGCAAGGACACAGCTGGCATGCAGCTTCACCTTTGCTTGGTGGATGTTTCTCTGGAGAGCCGATCTAACCACAACGTCTTCGTTGAAGCGGCTGCTGCGAAGGTGGCCCAGGTACCTGCATTGGCCAAGTACGTGCATTTTCATCGAAACTGTGACGCGCTGGACTTGGACTCTCGGCGGCATTTCGTTGCAAGTGCACAGTTTGCATGACAGTTTGAGGCTAACCGTGTAAGCTGTGTTGTTGTTAGGCGCGGAAGTTGGCGGAAAAGATGCCATCAGAGAGAGCGGACTTGGATGTGAGCATCCGCAAGGTAGGGCTCCTGAATGGCGCCAACAACAAGCAGCTTGGAAATCATTGGTTTGGTCATGGAGCCAGAAGCGCCATTGATGAAAACCTGCATCGACGATCTGGGGCCATGTGCGCAGCATCTTTGCTCATCAACCTGTCCACAGAGCCGCGTTTTCGAAGTGTGGAGGAGATGGTCATGCACGTTAATGCTACGGGCGGGAGCTGTGTGGAGCTTCTGCCATTTCCTGTGAAGACAGGCAAGGCTCGATCAGGAAGCCGCATCATTGCCAAAGTGAAGGTGGTATCTTACGGTATCCTTGGGTCCCAGATGTCCCATGGTCAGGTGAAGCTAGTAGCACCTGAACCCGGGGCTGGTGAAGTGGTAGTCGATCCTGCTGGCCTGCCGTACATTCGAAGCGGGCCGTCTGGTGCTGGGGGGGCCTCAGGCCAGCTTTACAAATGGCTTGGCATCTCAGATGGGCAGTTCCCCCAGAGTGTGCAGGAGGCTATCACTGATTCGCTGCAAGCCAAGTTCCATTCCTATGACCCTGGAAAGAATGTCATCCATGTGGTCGGTCCCGATTTCCGGTCAAGGACGCCAGAGCCGTGCTCTGCGGGGTGCATTGAGTTTGGCCCTGACCTCTCACAGCTGTCTTTGCCACCACAAGTCGCTAAGATGTTGATTCTGTATGTTTCTGTTGTCAGGACGTTTGCCCGGCTGTTATTTCCGGCCTATGGTTGACGCAGTGTAGAAGTAGACTCCTAGCGTTACAGAGGGTCCATCGTGATGTTGCAAAGGCGGCAGAAATTTGGGCAGACATGGTCAATTTGTTTTGCTTCCTAACCAGATGCTTTGGACGTGCATTTAGTTGTACGAACCTCTGTATGCATGGAAGCAAGCTTGCGTCTCCGAACTTGGCATTTGGAAGACATACACGTAGGTTCTGCAAGGAGCGCCATCATTCCACGTTGTTTCGAGCAGCCATCATGTTGATGCCAGATGCGCCGCGGATGCTTTCGTAGAACATTCCCCCACTGGACAAGACTATGGTGCATGCCAAGAGTTTGCTACCAAAGCGACAGGATAAATACCTTTCCACGCTACCTAAAGTGACAACAAACTGCACGGACAATAGTACAGAGGCCGCTGCGACCATGTCTGGTTCACTGTATAAGGTTGTCTGAAGACTCTTCCCTTTTTTTGCATGCCCCATTGTCCTGCACCACCCACCATCTTTCTACAGCGGTGAACTTCTGAAGAATTCAGACCTGCTACATGCAGAGAAGCCACTGTACGCACACCCCTCCACCACCACAACCTTCATTTCCATGCACAGCCAAAAACATGAGAAGCGCATGCATATCCACACTTCCCAAGCAAACGCAGGGATGCAGCCTTGTTATGACAATTTTCGTGGTTGTCACGATGATTGCCGTACTTCCGTCGTGTAGTCCAAAAGGTATGAAAACCTATGAGGGTCTCCTTGTCAATGGCATGCAATAGCACATTGAGCAGGAAAAGCTGCACTTGGGCCGATGCTGTAGGTGAGTTGGCAAAGGCTCGGCTATTTCTGCACTTGCGTAACTCTGCATCCAGTGATAGGCTGGCCACCTGCTGTTGTTTCTGTTGGTACTAGCTGGAAAATTCTCTATGTTCAGGTTGCTGTGTGTGCATAGGAAGTGTTGAGATGAAGTCCATTTCAAGTTATTTTAGGAGGCTCGATGCGATGTAGGCATGTTGTGTGGTATTTGGCTCGCAGGATAGCTTCGTGTTTTGTTCTTGATGCTTGCCATGATGCAGTCACACGCGCGGTTGTAATCCGGAGACGCTTCGATCTTTGTCTTCATGAACCTGATCCTTTCTGGTCAGGATTTTGCTGAGACCTTGCATGCATACGTGCTGCCCTTTTCAGCCGTTGTCCTGTGTCTTTATCCTCCAATTCTCTTTCTTCGCATGCTCACAGCGGGCCTGGCTCGCACAGAGCAGAATGATTTTCATCCAGTACCTGACCGAGAATATCCGAATTCCACGGATCGTGCTGGAGCATGCACCACATTTGCAGCGATTGCGGCCCTAGCTCCCTTGTTGTTGGTTTTCCCGGGCGGCTGCGGCTTCTCTGTGGGACCAGCTGTGCCGCAGCAGCGAGATGTCACAGATCTTTTGCTAGTAGGAATTGCTTCGAATGCAGACTCTCACAGCTCTCAGAAGAGCATGTCTTCTTCTGTTTGTGAATCCATGGGTTGCTTGATGGGCGTTGGCATGGTGTCCATCGCCATGAGATCCTTGTTCCAAACAGTTGCCAGAGCAAGAGGGGAGCGAGCCGAGCGTCGAAAGCTTGGCAAGGCAAAGTTGATCAGGAATCCCAGTGGCATTCTACGCCGCTGTAGCGCGAGGGAACGCGAGGAAGGCAGTGGGGAAGCCCGTTCTCACGACTATGCCAGACTGGTTCGGGATGTCCCGGTCTGGGAAGAACCCCCGGCTACAGCAACTTCCCATTGGCACCATACTGATCTTTTTGTGCAAGATTGGCTGGACGAGGCCTGGGTTTTCTTCTGAAGCTTATATGGCACCCTCTCAGCAATTGCTTGATGACTTCCTATTTTCATCTACCTGCCCTGCTTGCCTGCTTGCAGGATACCGGTTTGTTTCGATACATCAACGAAATGCCACAGGGATCTCTACAGAAATTCGAGTGCCTGGCTCGGAATCCTCATCTTGTAGTTCTGCGTGACTATTCCACTTGCTGCTGAAAGAATTGTCCATGCCATCTAAGGCTCCAGACTGGTCTCGAGCATAATGTACTCCGAGAGGATGCAGAAGGATCTCGAAGATTGCGGTCATTTGGAAGACCGGTTCCCTTCAACTACGGTTGTTTCCCGCAAACATATCGTGACCCAGACGAGCGCGATGAGCTTCACGATGCCCCGGGTGACAATGATCCCCTGGATGTGATAGATATCAGTCTGACGCCTGCAAATGTTGGAGACGTCGTAATTTGTCGTCCGCTTGGCGCAGTTTGCCTTATTGACGAAGGTCAGGCGGACTGGAAGATCCTTGTTGTAAACACGCAGCTTGATAGTCCTCTCGCTTCTGCCCGGAGCACTGCGGAAGTGGAGTCGCTATGCCCTGGGCGAATCCGAGAGATTCTCCAATGGATAGATGACTTCAAGCAGCACAGCTCCCATGGACATACAAAGCTTCACTCTGAGGTACATGATTCCAAAGTTGCTAAGTCTCTCATCAGAAAGGACCATGCAGCTTGGAGACGCTTGGTCTCCAGAGCTGATGCATCTGGCTATGCTTGCGGGCATTGGATTGCCATGCCCGAAGCATCCCCAGAGGTCCTGCAAGTTTCATGGCAAAGTTCGCATGCAGCCTCCCCGTTGACGGGGGCAACAAAGCCGCGCATGTCGACTTACACAGAGGCTTCGCAAGCTTTGCGGCGGCAGTCCTCCAGTAGCGATGGAGAGACTTCCTCCTCAGAAAAGAGCCCCTAAGCTGGGCACGGAAACAATTTTCAATCCCTCGCACACTGCAAGCTCCCCGTCCGTTTTCCTGTAGCTTGATGCAACATGCTTCTCTGGCTAATACAGCCTCATTTTGAGATAGGTAGTTGCAAGAGACAGCGGAGTGTCGTGAGGTGATTGTTGGATTGGTGTGATGTTCAAAAAACGTGAGCACTTACACGGCAGTCTTAGCAAGAGCACTGGGAGCACTGGGAGCACTGGGAGGCGTATGCCTCAACTCTGAAGGAGTTGGGAACCCAGATTTGGTCAAACGTTGTGTGAACAAGTAGTTGGCACCTGTGATCCTAAGCAGGTTTGCAGGCAGCGGTCTTTCACGGCTTCGCCTACTTCCTATCAGCAGCTCCATCTTCGTCCATGGCTCAGCAGCCCCATTGTGTCTAGAGCGACTTGAACCAGGGTGACTTGCACCAGCTTGGGCTCAGCTTTGTTGAGGCCGGGCCCTTCGAGAAGGACATGCCGGAGATGACAGTTGAGGCAGCCTGCAACAAAGTCAGTGTGGTAAGCATGGTCAGTGTTGACGGATCGCTTGGTTGTGCCGATGGGCAGAGATTCATCAGGGCATTGCTGAATGAATTGCGGCTCAAGCTGCGTGAGACCGAGCAAACGCGGATGTGGAGTGCCGTGCATGGTCGGAGTCTCGCTTGGGCATGCTGGCTTCCTGCACCTTGGCTGTCGAAGAAGGAGTTAATGAAGAGTAGACGAGAAGTTGATCCATTCTCAAAACACCTTGCAGGCTGTGAGGGGTTGGTTCTGGGAGCAGAAGCCCTCAGAAAGTAAGTCGACAGCATCACCTTCCTTTGATGCGGAGCGCCTGGAGCCGCCGCCTCAGACAGGTGTTGGCTGCCGAGCTGTAATGGCAGTCCTCAAGTCTTGGAGATGTTTGCATCTAGCTTCTGCATGCCGTTTAGACCTGCAAGCACCTGTTGCATGATTGGGATCTCTCACCTAGTGTGCTAGTTGGCAGCAGGTGGCTCCAGTGCGGAGCCACACATTTGTTTTGCAATGGCTGGCAGGGTGCTTGTGGTTGGTGCAGGAGGACAGCTTGGACGCAAGATCTGTGATACTTTTGTCTCGCGAAATTGGCTTACCTTTGGCGCGGATGTGCACTTTCCTGCGCCAGCGGCATCGCCCATGGTGCAGATTGATGTCGGCAAGGTTCGGCATGAGGATCAGGGTAAGTTTCTGATCTCTGCGCTTAGGAGTCACGAGAGGATAGGTGCAACGGGCAAGATCGATGCTGTTGTGAATGTTGCAGGAGGATTTGCCATGGGTACTGCAGCAGAGGAAGCGGTCTTAAGCGCCAGCAAAAACATGGTGGAATCCTCGCTTTACACATCGATCATAGCCGCGCATGTGGCTTGCCACACGCTGCGCACAGGAGGATTGGTCGTTCTCCCAGGAGCAGCAGCTGCCTTCTCACCCACTCCCTGGAGCCTACCATACGGTACTGCGAAAGTAGCTGTTCATCATTTGGTTCGGTCTCTAGATGAAACCTCTGGCTTGCCAGCAAAGGCCAAAACAGTCGGCTTAGCTCCGCAGACTCTGGACACGCCCCAGAATCGCGCAGCGATGCCAGATGCTGACCACGCCACCTGGGCAAGCTTGGAAGAGGTCGCCGAGCAAATCGCAGCCTGGTGCTCTGATCCAGAGGCTCTTCAAGGTGGCCATGTCTATCTGATTCAAAAGGGGAAAGGCGCTGCAGCGAGCTTCGAGCCTCGGACCCCACTCTGATGAACTTTCATCTGCATCCTCTTTGAACTGGGGCAGAGTACAGAAACTTTGAAATGCCAGAGCCAAGCGCTTGTCGGCAGTCGAATCTTGTACAGAGATGCTTACTTGCCAGACTTTTGGTCAGCAAGACAGGACGTGGTCCGCATGTACGCAGCGTCAAATGCATGATTGTTCAGGTTTCAGCTTTCCATAGGACGCGTTGCATCAGGAGTTCCCACATTTTTGGTATGCCTCTTGACATCGCTCATCTTCAGACAGATCTGTGCTTAACAGGCGTATCAAAGCAGAAGATTATCCGAATCAAGCAGCTAATCCATTCACCCTTCACTCTAAACCCTAAGCACTAAGCACCAAACAGTACTTTGTCCTCAGGCAGTGGCTCGACTTCAAACATCTGGTTGATCCTTCGAAGTCTGGACTTGCTGACTCGCAGGAAAAGGCAGGAGATTCTGCAATGTAGCGTATCAACTTTTTTCAATTTAGGGTTTGAGCGATGTTCCTGGTGTAGGATCGCATCGTGAATTGGAATGGTGATGCTTATGTAGAGGTTCAAACAGATGCTTCGCAAAACGTTTTTGGTATGGTAGGTGCGCGAGATCACACACGTCACATACCCTGTTCCAGCAGCAAGCCTCCTTCCACACCAATTTGCATAGGGGCCCCATATTTTTTCCACCCC